ATTTCTTTTTGCTCTTTTTGCAATGGATACAGTTTTATCTTTAGACCCTATACCCGTTCCCGATTTTTCAAAATATGCAAACCTCGGAGTACGTACCAGTTTTTCTCCCGTTTAAAAATAGCGTTTTTGAATATGAAGGGTTGCTGTCTGCGCGCTAAATGATACACCATTCGATGCAGAAAGTTTTTGCGCATCTTTCTATGCTATTTACAGCGCGCAGCCAACAACCCTTCACAACGAAAATCTCGAAAAACTGTTTTGTGTACGCGAGATTCCTATGTTCCGGCCATTTTCACGCTTTGCGATGTATTAGAGAAATGGTCCCCGTCCAAAATTAGGTATTGGCACAAATTTTCAGCAAAGTTGGTTAAGTAACTTCCAAGAAAATTTTTGGGGGTCTGCAACTTCAACGCCCATTTAAACCCCCCAAATTAAACTTTTTAAACTTTCAAAACTATGCAGCCCCACTAATTCGACCATGCTCTATCCGATGGCGTCAAAAAAACGGGGACGAAAAAAACTGTGCCAAGCCATATTGGGCTCTGTTCGCGTGACCCGCGGACGGCCTTTTAAAGAGAATCGCTTCATTTTGTAGTCCGTACAAAATGAAGCATTTCTTGATGTCACGCTCCCTTGATTCCTTGATGTAACGAAGAAATTATGAGAATTATAAGGAAAATAGAAAAATAACAAAAATGACAAAATGTCGCCTAGCCAGTCAAAAATGGGATCACGCTCTGGAAAGTTGAAACTTTTTAGGAAATTCGGTTTTTTCGTTGGATCTAGCTGAGAAAGAAAGAGAGAGAGAGAGAGAGAGAGAGAGAGAGAGAGAGAGAGAAAGAGAGAGAGAGAGTGAGAGAGAGAGTGAGGGAGAGCGAGAGAGACAGAGCAAGATCTTTCACTTAAAATTTGCCCACACATTTGCCAAACACTGCAATTGAGGGAGAAATTGTGGGTGGGGAGAACGGTAGCCAAAATCATTGGCCGAGATAAGCCGATAAAGGGTTGTAAAGGGGGGCCGGACCTCGTTTTCGGCTTCTGCCCGGGTCGGCTTCCGTTTTGAGGGCAGATGACCCCAAAATCTCGATCAGCTGGAAGGGCTTTTTGATTGGAGATCACCTAGAGGCTCTAGTCACCTCGCCAAAAAAGGTTTTAACTCGTAACTGGTTGAAACTGGGATTTTACGTCGTAATTGGTTACTGTGACAGCGGGGAGGCTAGCAGAGATCATTGAGGACGCGAAGGCAGGCTAGGAGATATTATTGAGGAAGTGAGGGCGGGCTAGCAGAGATCATTGAGGAAGCGACGGCAGGCTAGCAGAGATCTTTGAGGAGGCGGGGGCAGGCTAGCAGAGTCCATTTATTTCAAACAAAAAAAATAACAATTAAGAAAGTTAGAAGAAAGCCGATCCCACTTCCTAAAGAACCTTTGCTAGTCTTCCCACCTGGGCTTAGAAACTGAAAATCAAAACAAAAATATCAAAAAATAGGCGTGTGGTTGAAAGCTAAAACTTTTAATCTAAAGCCCATAAATTTAACAGTTTTTATCAGCCCAGCGTCACCTCAAAAAAGGGAGGGCCTAAAAAGAGGCGTGCTAAGTCTTTAGGTTAAGTCGGTTGATTTTTATTTTTTTTATCGCCCGCTCTCGTCACGTCAAAAAAATCATAAGTTAAGCCTATTTTTTTAAGATATTTCGGATTATTCAAGCCCTTCTTATCTCGCAAAGACCTTCTTATCTCACCTCCGAAAATAACCGTGAGGTGGGCTATTTTGGGGACGCCATAAAGGATTGCCGAAATTCCAAACAGGCAGCACCCAAAAATAGCCACGTGATAAGCCGAGAATAAAGGGTAGTAAAGTCAGGGAAAGCCGGCTTGTTGATTCTAGCGTATTGCTTTTTCCAAGGTGCGTAAATATTGCTACGGGATGTACGGGAAAACATGGGTCATCTGGGAGGGGGGATTTTGAGTCTACTGCTCGGTTACTCCTTGTTATTTGGGAATTGGCAGGGGAAGAGCGCGAGAGAGAGCGAGAGAGAGAGAGAGAGAGAGAGAGAGAGAGAGAGAGAGAGCGAAAGAGGCCGACATTAAGCGCATTGATAAGGAGCACGTGTTGCCTTGGGAAATCGAGACTAGCGCGTACTTTCGAATCACCGGACCCCCGAAATCAAAATCCAGAATTCTCAAATGGTCTCGGCTAGCTTGCCAGGCGTTTTTAAGACAAAAATCTGAGAATCTCTGCTAGCTTGTATCTTGGTTTTTAAATAGCTTCAAAACCAAGAATGTGGGGCAGGCTAGCAGCGATTCTTGAAGAAAATTCAAATGATCTTTTCTTATGAGAGCTAGCAGAGATTTTTGAGATCGAAAGAGGGTAACTGGCAGAGATTCTTGAGGAATTTTACGCGAGGGTTGAGCAGAGATTCTTCGTGTAAATTAAGAAGTTTAGACGGCGAGGGCAACTAGCGGAGAGACTTGAGGATCTTCTGAGCTGCTAATCCAATATTTTTTTCGGGAATTGAGAGAAATCAGAGAAAAGGCAGGCTAGCAGAGGCTCTTTGATCGCAATTCGTCGAACTACAGTAAGGCTTGGCGGTGAGTTTCGAGACATTTAAAAGTGCAAGTCACAATTTGGCGATCGGCTGACTTGTCTTGAAAAATACATTAATGAGCGAGAGAGAGAGAGAGAGAGAGAGAGAGAAAGAGAGAGCGCGTGAGATCGAGCTAGACACAGAGCGAACGAGAGTGAAAGAAAGCTAGCAAATTCGCCAGTATCCGCTAACTGAAACCACTCGAAGAAGTGACGTCCCGGTGCGTAGGCTGTTCCATCACAGCCTGGCAGATGAGTCACTGTGTGTTCGTTTTATATCCTCTCTTCGGCGGGGCTTTTGCTTGCCCAGTTTCCGGGGGGTGTACCCTTCGTTCACAATGGCTGTCTGACTGTGATTCAGAGACCCTGTTTGCCCAAAAGAAAACGGGCCCATCCGAACCAGCCATTGTTCTACTACACTGCTACGATTTGCACGAAGGGCTTCAAAAATCAGGAAAATTTTTGGGGGCCCTAACAACTAGCCGAGAGCGTTTAGGAAGTGGATGACAGGCTAGAAGAGTTCATTGGGAAGGGAGGGCAGGCTAGAAGAGTTCATTGAGGAAGGGAGGGTAGGCTAGCAGAGGTCATTGAGGAATCGAGGGTAGGCTAGCAGAAATCATTGAGGAAGGGAGGGTAGGCTAGCAGAGGTCATTGAGGAAGAGAGGGCAGGCTAGCAGAGAACTTTCAGGAACAAGAAAAACAAAATCCTACGTGAAATCCTGTAGCTCTTATTAACGCGCCCCCAGTGGCATGCTAGCAGTGGCCATTTGCGCAACTTTTAAAGCTTATCCAAGCTCGATTTCGAGGTTAAAAAATTTGCCAACCTGTCGACTCGTCCCGTCATCTTCTCTCCTTCCGAAAATCCTGGCCCTCAACCGGCCGAGCCTCCCCTTCACCCCACAAAGACGAATCTTCACCCGTTGGTCGCCCGTTTTCTGCGCATTTGCATAATTTGGAGAATAGGTATAAAGACAAGAAAAGAAAAGAGAAGAAATAAATTTATCAGATATGAAATACGCTAAAAATTGAAAACTAGAGGCAAGCCAAGGCGCTAACATTTCTGGAATAGCACTAAAAATTGGAACAAATGGGAGCGAGAGAGAGAGAGAGAGAGAGAGAGAGAGAGAGAGAGCGAGGGAGAGAGAGAGCGAGTGGGAATGAGGGAGAGAAAGAGCTATTTAAAACATTTTAAGCTCTCCGGAAGCCGACCGGAAGTGTAAAAAGCTCGAAAACGAGCAGGGTGAAATTGAAAAATTTTGCGCTGATGGCTTGTGGGAGCGCGACGGGGGCTGGGATGCAAAATCGATACGGTCCCTATCAATCGGTCTCGCCGCGGCTTTTGGAAAGGTTCCAACTTGGGATTAGAGGGGGAGAGAGAGAGCGAGAGAGAGAGAGAGAGATGGAGAGAGAGGGAGAGAGGTGAGAGAGCGATCCGTTTGGTAGTCACATTGCATATTGATTAATCAAAAAGCTCCAAGGCTTCTTATCACTTGCCACTTGCCACCTATGGCTGTTTTAAAGGAACACAGAAGCCATAAAAATTGGCAGGCTGGCAGAGATTTTCAGGGAATTCTCAAAACAGTGCACCCATAGACAGGCAAGCTAGCAAAGATTACTGAGGGAAGCAAAAAAATCCTGATCAGGCAAACCAGCAGGGAACATTGAGGAAGGCGTATAGGCAGGCTAGCGGAGATTTCTAAGGAATTTTTTAAGCCCTTGGAGCAACTATTCCCAGGCAGGCTAGCAGAGAACCTTGAGGAATCAGTCCCGTCAAAGGGGCGCAGTGAAACAACGGCGCGGAAACGCGGCTTAACAAACTACGCAAAACGAGTACACGTCAACGCGGATTATTTCGGAATGCAACGATAGCTACACCATGTGCCTTTCCGGGCTTTCAAAAGTCGCGAATTCGCTCCCATTCATCCCTCCTCGTTCGCCAAACACCGTTAAACATCGGCAAATAGGGCAAATAGGGCAAATAGGGCAATGTTGGCAACTCACCAAGGTTGTATTTTAAGGGCCGGGTAAGGAATCATAGAGTTTTGGTTGGCGGTGACTTTCAAAATGTCGAAACTTCATATGTCGAAATTCGTAATGTCGAAATTCAGAATGTCGGCCTTTTAAAACGCCGAAAGCCTTCATGTCCAGAATCATAATGTCGACATTTCAGAATGCCGAAATTTACGTAAGCAAATATCCCGGGAAAAAACGCGAAAGGCCATACAAAAATTTCCGCATCCTAAAATTTCGAAATTAAGAAATTCGCACGCCACACGCAACCCGCACGCCCAGCTTTCCATTGCATAATCGTTTAGCACCAATCTTTACCGGCAAGTCCCGTAATCACATAAAGTACCGTAATCCCCCGTCAAAATCCGTTTTTTGCGCTCCCTTTAAAATCCTCGAGTTCACGAACCTGAACCAGCCGCCCGAACGCGTGCTCCATGGCATTCGGATGGAGCAGGCAGCAGTCATTCTGAAATTGTAGAGGTGGAGCGAGAGAGAACAGAGAACAAGAGAAAGAGAGAGAGAGAGAGAGAGAGAGAGAGAGAGAGAGAAAGCTAACTGTAAAGTGTTTTTACTCAACTTGGAGTTTCGATTCGGGACCAAGCGCATCTTGTGCAGAATTTTTCGCTGATTCCGAATATGTTTTCCAAATTTGCTACGGGCTTTTATTTAAAAAATCATTTTTGGTAACAATTAGGCCGAAAAATGCCAAAAATTCCGACGCTGGCCCACTATTCCTTGTTTGGGGCTATGGTTCCCAGGGGCCGTCAGTAGCCTCTGACACCACCCTTCCCAGTTGGCACCATGGTGCATTGGCAAAGTACTCGCTTGCCAAGCGCAGGGCGGCGGTTCGAACCCCCGCCCTGAATCATTTCTTTTGCTTTTTGCATAAAAATCTAATTTTTTTTATCTAAAATGCTTGTTTTGAGCTGTAAGATGCTTGTCGAGCCAACGTCTAGTCAATTTTGACGTTGAAATTAATGAAGAAAATCGAAAACTATAACGATACCTTCATTTTGGTGAAAACTAGGGTCATAATTGTCGTATAACTTTCAGAATAACGGTCCGTAGCAAATTTGGAAAACATATTCGGAATCAGCGAAAAATTCTGCACAAGATGCGCTTGGTCCCGAATCGAAACTCCAAGTTGAGTAAAAACACTTTACAGTAAATACTCACCTCGCCTTCCGTTTTGCTCCGCTCCCGATTCCGGCTCTTCTTCTGGAGCCTCGGCGAACCTCGGGGCGAATTTCGTGGCGAAGGAAACGGGAAGCATCGGATTATCTAAAAAACACAGTTAGTTTTTAAGTGAAAAATTTGCATACAGTTTTTCGTCACTCTCTCAAGCTCTCTCTCGGCTCTCTATCTATGTCTCTCTCTCACCCACCTGCATCAATTTTTCATAATTCATCCCGCTACCCAGGGCCAGCAGCTCGTCGTGCGGGTCGCCGCCCATTTCGTACATTCTGTCTGAAAGGCCTACCGTATTTTGAGCATTTTTTAAAAACTACTTTAAGGGTTAATTTTCGGGTATTTTCATTTTAAAGTATATTTTAAAGATGTTTACAAGACAAGAAACTTTAAAGCAGTTCAAAGTAGCGAATTTCTGTGGAATAGAAAAATGTTTTATAAATGCCGGAGGCATGTGGAAGTTTTTAAGGTCCTTGAAGCCAAACAATGCAAAATAATGCTCTATTAACTGTCTTAAAAAATTTGCATGCATTATTAATATGTATTGAAAGTCCCAAATTAAAAATAGTTTGGCATTTCTGAAAATCTTAACGAAATACTTTCGAAGCCCCAACATGGAAGCGACAAATTTTTTCAAGGTACAGGCGGGTCAGAAAACAATTTTTTGAGGTATGAAGCGAAATTTTACATATGGTAATGTTCCTTTGAACCGGATAAACAACTGAACCGGCTTTAAAGCCGTCGGAAGTCAAGGGAAAAGCTAGAAAACAGCAAGTGAAAATTTAGACATTGACACTTACCGGAACTCGGAGTCGGCAGCTCCTCCCACACGCACTCACGCTCTATCTCGATTCTGAAAGCAAGGATTTAGAATTTGTTGGGGCTTTAAAACATCCTAAACGCTCTTTGCCAGCATTCCTCGAATTTCTGACATTTTTAGAGTGGAACTAGCATTAATAGGTATATCCTGCTCATAAAAAAATTTGGGATCATGCACGAATCGGCGAAGACGAGGGGGAAATCGATGATTCTTGGTGTGAAGGAGGTGGTGGAATAGGGAGAAGAGGAGAGAAGGAGAAGCAGAAGAAGGAGAAAAAGGTTGTGGACAGTCTGACTCAGTTCTCCCAGGCTTCTTTCATCGAATCCGACCCGCCAATCTTTGCTCAATGCGCTTTGGGAGGTTGAATTGTTGGGGTGGGGGAAACACCTGTCAAATGGTCTCTGCTAGCATGCCCTAATAAGTCAAATTTTAAGGAGCAAGATCTCGCCCTCAAAAAATTGCGTTCGCGGTGCAGCCAACTTGGAAGAGAGACCGAGAGAGAGAGAGAAAGCGAGAGAAAGCGACAGAGCGGGGAAGTGAGGGAGAGAGCGATGGATAGAGAGATCGAGAGAGCGATGGGGAGAGAGCGAGATAGAGAGAGAGAGAGAAAGACAGAGAGAGCGATGGAGAGAGAGATCGAGAGAGCGCTGGGGAGAGAGCGAGAGAGAGAGTGAGAGAGAGAGATAGCGAGAGCGAGAGCCTGAGAGCGAAAGAGGGAGAGAGAGAGCGCGAGAAAGAGAGAGAGGCAGAGAGCTAGATTGAGCAAGAGACCTAGCGAGAGAGAGCAAGAGACAGTCAGAGAGACAGAGTGATATTGTTAATTTCACTTCCTCTTGACAAATTTATACCCTAAAAAATCTCGACCCACCTAGTATACCTCCGCTTCCCACCCGCAGCTTTTCGCTTCGTTTCGCGCATAATTTAGGCAAAAAAAATCCTAGTTTTTCTAGTGAAAGTATATGACCAAAAACTGGCTAGGTCTCAGACAAAAAATGTTTGGGTGCACGCTGGGTGGGTGATTCAACCGGGGGCCGGCCAAACATTTCGATTCTTGAAAGGAGGACACCCGGGCATTATTGTATATTCTGCTAGCCGATTTTTATGTATTTTTTAAGGTGTATTGCGTTCTCCCCGTCTCTCTCTCTCTCTCTCTCTCTCTCTGTCTCTCTCTCTCGCTTTCTCTCGCTCTCTTTCTCAATCGCTCTTCGATCGACATACCTGGATAGATGCGAAGAGCTCCGTTTTGTGCCCGTCTTTGCGTACTTTTCCTCCTTGCGGCCTCTGAATTTGCATTTGAATAATTTCTTAAAGCCCTTTCTAAGTAAGCTAAATTAATTTTCCCCTATCGTATCGTAATATTTTTCTAGCTTATTTTTAGTGCGAAAAATCGCAAAAATTTCCAGTCTTCCAATTTTTTTTGTTTTCGCCCCTTTTAAACCTATTTTTATGATGTGTTAATTTAAAAATCCATACAAATTTTCATGAAATCCGACCTCCTCCTCCTTGGCCAGCATCCCTTGAACGCCGTCGAGCCGCCCTCGCTTTGCCGGCTGCTCGCTCCACCCATCCACTGCTGCAATTTGCATTGGCTTTTTATAATGGATAATCATTTAATCAAGCCGAAAAATGGTTTAAACTCCTGGCGGCGCAGTACCTTTCAAAAATTTCGAGAAATGGATATCGCTGGCTCTCTCACTCTCACTCACCCGCTCTCTCTCCATCTCTCGCTCTCTCGCTCTCTCTCACTCTTTTTCACGCTCTCTCTGTCTCGATCTCTCACTTTCCCGTCCTCCCGCTCTCGCGCAATCTCTCCCGATCTCCCGCTCTCTAGATCTCTGGCTCTCTCGCTCTCTATGTCTCCATCTCTCACGCTTGCTCACTCGCTCTCTCCCCCTTCTCTCACCCTCTCTCGCTTTTTCTCCCTCTCTCTCTCTCTTGCTCTCTCTCGCCTACCCATAACAATAGCCTTAATACGGCAAAACAGAATGAAATATGCAAATTAGATTAAAATTTCAGAAATGAAATGTTCAGCGAAAATTGTGTGAAGTATCCACCCTCGTCATGGAACCCGCATTTTCACGCAAAAGCCCATTTTCCCCGACAGGCTTACGGCTGATAACTAGGCGCGAAATGCTGGTGCGGATTATAATTTGGGTATACTTCGAGCAGAGAGAGAAACAGCCGCTGAACACACAGACAAACAGTGGTGACGCCGGGGTCAACGGGGGCAAGCTAAACTGGACGAATTTTGCTGGCACTTGGAATATCTGGCCAAAGCAGGCTAGCAGAGAACATTTGGGAATTGAAATTACCAAAATATTAAGCAAATCTATGCCAATTTTGCCTTCAAAGTTCCTTTAGGCGGCGCGCTGACAGAGTTAATTCGGGAATTAGAGGTTTCTATCTAAGCTAGGCTTGAAAAGTAGAAAGTCGAGCTGTCACGCTCCCTTTAAACGGAGTGGAAATTGGGTTACGCTAGGATTCGAGCTTTTACTTTAAAGTAGGGTTGTTAAATGACTTGAGTCGGCACCGACTGCGTCGGAAAAATATGAATCGGAAGGGACGGATGAATGTTGACGATTCAATCGCAAACGACTGGAGTCGACGACGAATGAATCGTATGCTTTAAAACCGTTACTTGCGATTTAAAATCGGCGCGATTCAAATCGCCTCCCGACGCGAGTCGCCAAACGATTTGAGTCGGAATGGAAATTAGTCGGATGGAACGACTTGAAATCGCGACGACGCAAGTCGCCGACGACTCAAGTCGTTTGCGTTTTCAAGTCGTCGGAAGTGAATTTATGCAAATATATGTTGATGGAAATAAACTTGATCGACCAACTAAGCTTGTTGAACGGGAGGAAGTCGCACACCCTTTACGCTACGATAGGACAAGAGATCAGGTCTCACCGACCCTCTTCCAAGAAAGCTGTACCAAAACTACCGTAAATAAAGGCATTCGAAGCTCGAGATGACGGAGCCCAGGAGTCGGGAGCTCAGGGAGCTCAGGGCGCTTCTGCAGGTATATTAAAATACCAAAAACGTTAATTTTGAAGTGTCATACTATTCTGAGTATATTACTACAAGATTTAATACGATTTACGGCTTTTCTACAGTTATGCTGCAAAATCAAATAGGGACTAAAATCGCAGCGCGAAGCGGCCTTTTTCCATTAGTTCACGGATAAACAGTTTTGGTACAGCTTTCTATGGAAGAGGGTCGGTGAGACCTGATCTCTTGTCCTATCGTAGCGTAAAGGGTGGTGCGACGTTGTCTCTCCCGTTCAGACAAGCATATAGTTGGTCGATCAAGTTTATTTCCATCAACAATATTTGATAAATTCACTTCCGACGACTTAAAACGCAAACGACTTGAGTCGTCGGCGACTTGCGTCGTCGCGATTTCAAGTCGTTCCATCCGACTAATTTCTATTCCGACTCAAATCGTTTGACGACTCGCGTCGTTTACGAATTGAATCGTTAACATTTCAATCCGTTCATTCCGACTCATAATTTTTCCGATGCGAGTCGGTGCCGACTCAAGTCATTTGCATTTTCGCCGACGCAAGTCGGTGGCGACTCAAGTCATATAACAACCCTACTTTAAAGTCGTTGGAAGGAGTAGCTGAGTCGAATTAGCACTGGCTTAAGCCTAGGCTTAGATCATGCTTAGAAAGAGGCTAGGCTTAGGTTAGACTTGGTTTAGGCTTTTCGACAAGTGAGAGAGATCTGAAACAATCAATTGTTTCACCAGAGCCCGAAACACTGGGAGCACACAGGTAGCCTCCGTCTGTCTGTCTGTCCGTTTCTCTCTCTCTCTCTCTCTCTCTCTCTCTCTCTCTCTCTCTCTCTCTCTATCCATTTTTGGGAGGCCGCAAAGGGCTGTAACCCGGAGATTTAGCGTGTCCCTCCCCCTGCCGAAACGGCACAAAATTTGTGGCGTGCGCTCAAAAAAGCGGGGTTCGGGCGCGATCGGCTGAGGAGATAATGGCTTCCGCCCCGGTAGCCCCCCTCGTAGATACCACGCATTTTTCGGGGTTCACGCCGTGATTTTGTTTTGATAAAGCTGCCGGCCGCGATTTTGACAGGTCGTGATTAGAAGATCCGGATTGGGTGCGAGTTTCTATTTTGGGATCGGGTTAATCCGCGCAAAAAAATCATAGAAACTTTGTCTGGAGCGGCCCTTTAATGGCCTTTTAGTCGACGACCCTCATCGAAGCAAGCTTGCAGAGATAATTTAGGAAACTAGCATCAAACCAAGCTCTGAACATGGCTTTACAATGTTTTTAGAAAGACGGTAAAGGCAGGAATACGTTTATTTTTTGAGAACCGACTTCCATGTATTTTGCCTTCAATGGCCCTTTAATTAAACAAAGTTAAAATTTTTTTAGAGGCAAACTAGCAGAGAAAATTTAGGAAACGAGCATCAGGCGAGGTTTTGAAAATGGTTTCAGAATGTCGAGAAGGAAGCTGCAATCCTTGCCGGCTCCTTGAAAGAGACCGAGAAATGAGTTACGGTAGCTAGGTTCGTTATTGACATCACAGATTTCCTGACTTCCTAGTGCCTTTAAAATAAGGGAAAGGGGGGGTGGTTGGGAATGAAAAAAAAAAGGGGGGGGGGAAAAAGTAAGTTTGACTTAGGCATAGATCGGGCTTAGGCTTCTGTTTAAGCTTAGGCTTAGGCTTGGCTTAGGCTTAGCTTGGGCTTAGCTTAGGCTTAGCTTTAGGCTTAGGCCCAACCCCAGGCTAAGGCGTAGGATTAACGTAGGCCTTACCCTAAAAGCGAAAATTTCTAATTTTAAACAGTGAAAAAGGCTGGATTATTTTGAAGACCAATTTGCTATGGCCGATTTGGCTATCACTGGGATATCCACCACAGATTATCGCCACCCAATCCGCGAAAGTGCTGACCTTGAACTTGGAGAGTCGAGACGTCTCGCCCATCGACCGGGGCGGGTGAAGGCAATCTGAAAACGGAGCATCAGCTATTTACGATGGATTCAATGGATATTAACGGATCGAAAAACAGTAGAATCCAACTGGAGAAAAGCAAAGGGAATTTGCTAGCCGGCCCGTCAGTGAGGCAAGAAATTGCACCTAGGATTTCGAAAGGCCAATGATAATATGATTTTAGTCATGGGTGGAGCTGCCAAGACAATCGAAAGCCATTAATTTTGGATCCATTAGGGTTTGGAAAACATTTGAGGGGTGCAGCAGGAGGGGAAAACATGGAGAAATCGAGGCAAGCTAGCAGAGTTCATTAGAGGAGAGAAAGAGAGAGAGAGAGGAGGGGAGAGAGAGAGAGAGAGAGAGAGAGCGAGAAAGAGAGCGAGGTTGAGAGCGCAAGTTCTGGTTGCCGGCGCGCTCACTTTAAAGGACTAAGCAAAGCACGCCTATGAATTTGCGGGCCAAGTTACGCCACTGGATTCTCTGGCGCCTGCGACACGCGACGCGTTGGCCCGTTTTTCGTTGCGTAATCGATATAACCCCTTTAGGACAGTCTAGTGGGGCGCGCGTTGCGTGTCGCGGGTGTGTCAGAATTGTCACTTTGATGGTCTAAAAATCCTTGCCATGTCTACCCAATATCTTGAATACATACATGGGAATTGCCTTATACTAGAGATTTCTACCCCGCGACACGCTAAGCGCTTGACCACGAAAACGCAGGCGCGCGTTGCGTGTCGCCGGCTCCAGAAAACCCAGAGGCACTCCATATCCCCCAGAATCCATAGCTCTCCTACCTTCCCAGTCCCTTTAAAACAGAAAAACCGAGTTTTTGGGACACCCCATAAAATGTTGTGCAAATTGTGAGGGAAATGCTGTCCCGTACGTATTCTCGAACCCCATCCCTCTATCCGAAATCGATCCCCCCGAATGGGTGATTTACCGTGGGGAAATGGGACCCGCCAACGGATCGTCGGCCCTTTTCTCGCCTAATAAACCCGGGGGTACGGTAGTGGGGGCGCGAAATGGAGGGAACTGCCGCGGGAGGGGGTGCGTATAGTTTCGGGTGTGCCTCATAACCACCCCAAAATAACCCCGATGTTTACCGATGCGCTGACCAGAGTAACGGCCGACATCATTTGATGTGGAACGGAAAACAGGGAGCAGGTATAAGTACGATTTTGATAATTACGAGGAATTAGGGGAGCCAGAGAGAGAGAGGGAGAGCGAGAGAGACGAGAGCATGAGAGAAGCGAGAGAGAGCGAGAGTGATAGATAGAGACAGGGTGAGAGCAATAGAGAGAGTGAGAGAGAGTGGGTGGAGAGGAGTAAGAGATAGAGACAGAGTGGGTGAGAGGGTGACAGATAGAGAGAGAGAGAGTGAGAGTTAGATAGAGAGAGCGAGATAAAGAGATAGCAAGAGAGCTGGTGCGAGAGCGAGAGCGGAGTAGAGTGAGGGAGAAAAGAGATAGAGAGACAGAGCGAGAGAGAGAGAGAGGGGGAGAGAGCGAGAGAGAGCGAGAGAGCGAGAGAGTGAGAGAGCGAGCAAGGCTAAAAAACCGAAACAAAGCGAGCGGTAAATATGCTTTTTTTTTTTTAAATTTTTTTTTTTAAAAATAATTTT